CAGAAGGGCTAGGAGTGTCACTCAGTGRTAGAGCACTTGCCTAGGAGTTTTAAATGTCCCTGGAAGAAAGCAAAATCCCAGTGTTTGGAGAGAGAAGAAAGACATACTATATCTTAAAAGTAAACAAAAGAAGTTGATAAATATAGGCAGGCCCTAGAAGCTCAGGCATCTTACAAAACAGGGCCAATACCCTTGGAGGGAGTTTCCCTCTTAACCACCCCAACACAAGACAGTCACCACCCTCCCAGCTGACTTTCTTGACAATGACTTCCAACACACACGTTTCATCCTTTCAGAACTGGGCTTTAGATACAGCATGTAACTTGTGTTAAAAGCAAAAATAATAATAATGAGATGCACACTGCAAAAATATGAGCACATGAGGGAAGCAATGTTTCCTAATATACAAAGTAAAAGAAGAAAGTATTACCCTGAAAGTGAAATATAATTAATTTTAATAGTGTTATGTTATCCTTTTATTTAAAAGACAAAAAGCTATCTGGCGACCTCACCATCGTGAGAATCCATTTTACTAGGCTTTTAGCATTACGAAGCACAATTCCAAAGCTTTGGTCCTAGCAGAAACCAGTCTCCCATTGCAGTTAACTAGCCTGTTGCCTCTTTAAAGGGAGGTTTATAAACCCATTCAAAGGGTAATAACATGTTGCCTTCCTTCAGGGAAACTTTCATCCTGATGAAGTTCTAGCACATCCCCAAAGTAAATAATCCAAGTTCCACAGAACTGAGTGCAAAAAGCAGGCCTGGATTTTTGATGACAAACTCCAGCCTGAGGAGCTTCCTGACAGTACCCCACAGCAGTCAGAATTAGGGCACTGGTCCCTAACTTCCCCAGATGGGGAAGAAAGGCTATAGGAGGCCACCCAGGAGGTAAGACACACTGGCCTTCCCTTCTGCCCCTTTTACTGGTATTTTTATAGTTAAACATGTGGTTTGTCTCTTTGTAGGTTATGCCACTCTTTTACAGATCCCCTTTTACAGTCCTATTATAGCTTTTAGATATTTTCCACTTGCGGGTAAAGGAAAAACAAGCAGTCATGTTACCTATTACAGAGTAAATAGCCTGCATCTAAAATGATTGGGATCAGAAGTGTTTGCTTCACTTTTTTTTTTTCAGATTTTGAAATATTTGCATATACATAAATGAAATATCTTGAGGACAGTATCCAGTCTAAACAAAATTCACTTTTGTTTCATTAGCACAGCTTGAAAGTAACTTTAAACAATATTTTTAATAATTGTGTGCATGAAACAAAGTTGATCTATATAGAACCACCAGAGTCAGGAGTAGGATTTTTCATTTGTGTCATGTGGGCCCTCAAAAAGTTTCAGACCTTGAAGCATTTTATATTCCAGACTTTGGGATAAGGAATGTCCACCTAAAGCCTCTGACGCTTGTGGGAAATGTTTGGGTTGGGAAGAGATGGGGTGCCCTGTGGATTCTCACATTTCTTGGGTTACTTTATCATCACCTCCTGGATACTTTCAYTCTCATTACCTCCAACAAGTTTTCCAAGTTGGAATTCAGGAGCACATATCCTAGGAAGTGTCCTCAAGGGCTGTGAGAACAAAGCTTTCCATGATGAAGAAAGCTCTGGAAATGTTGGCTTCTAAATTCCCTGTGGAGGTTCACAACATATACCCATGTGTTGAAGGCTCTGCCTGTGAATGACATTAAACAGGATTCCTTGTCACATCAATTAGCATTGATGTTAAATCAACTAGCATTTACCCAAACACCATCTCCTTCCGATCTCATTCCTTCACATCTGTGGGGTGTCCTTGGTACAGACTCTACCAAGTGCTTGCCCTTTAATTTTCTCCTTGTTTTCTGCACCTTGCAGATTTAGAGGATAGTCAATGAGACCAGGGCAACAAACCCAGGTGTAGGTTTTATGCCATGGATCTGTTTTGGCTGATACCATAACCACAAGCCACCCGTCATTATTTATATTTGTATTTAAATTAATTGAAACTATGGTTGACTGGCAAGGGTTCAACTTAGAATTTTTCAACTTTATGAGGGTGTGAGAGCATACTCATCCAATAATTCTGCTTTTTGCCTTCAATACAGTATTTGATAAATTGCGTGAGCTACTCGATGCTTTATTACAAAATAGGCTTTGTGTCTGGTACTTCTGCCAACTGTAGGCTAATATAAGTGATCCGAGCACATTTAAGATAAGCTACGATGCTCAGTAGTTTAGGCGTGTTAAATGTATTTTCAATTCATGGTATTTTCAACTTACAATGGATTTATCAAGACACCCCCCCACCCACTGTAAGTCAATGAACATCAATATTTAATATTGAATAAAATTAAAAACTCAGTTCCTCAGTTGCATCCATATTTCAAGTGCTCAAATCAATATGTCCTTGTGGCTACCATATTGGCCAGAACAAACATAGARCATTTCCATTATCACAGAAATTTCTGTTGAATAACACAATAAACCTTACAAGCCACAGAAGGAATTCTCTCAGTCTTCTCATTTCATGTTTTACATGAAGGAATTCTCTCAGTCTTCTCATTTCATGTTTTACTGTGAGACTGTGAGAGCAGTGAAATCAAGGAGGGGGTGTTGTCACCTCTGAACCCAAGCTCCTAATCAGAGGCCCCGCAGGGAGGGCTGCTCACAAAATATTTGCTGGAAGATATGAATGTTCCCTTCTCTTTGCTCCTGTGGCATGTACCCACTTCTATCACAACACTTTAGCATACTTTTCCCCACCTCCCCCMAAAAAATCTTTAGTGTTTATTGATTTTAAAAGGATTGATTTTAAAAGGATTTTAAAAGAATAACTAAAAGATGATCAAAAAAAATCAACCCATAATAATCCCACCTGTATATGACCACTCAGCATTTTGGAGTATACTATCTCCATTCATTTGTTTAACAAAGAGATGTTTTGTTGTTTATTGATGAATATTTTGCATGCAATAAAATTCAATATTTTCATATGATGTATGTAAAATGATTCATGTTATCACCTCTATAATTGACACAAAGTAGTTTCATCATCTGAGAAAGGTCCCCTCCTGCTCCTTTGTAGTTTCAACTCTCTCCCCACCCACCTCTGTCACTGATAAGAGTTCTGTTCCTGTACTTTCAACTTTATAAGAACACAGTAAGTAGGGTTTGGGTTTTGTGTTGTTGTTGTCGTCGGCATACTGGGGATCAAAACCAAGGCCTCTACCACTGAGCTATACCCCCAGCCTTTTTTTGTTTTGTTTTGTTTTGTTTTGTTTTAGTTTGGCCTCTGTCATTTAGCATAACGCTTTTGAGATTCATCCGTGTCAGTCGTTTTTATTGCTCAATTGTATTCTATTATATGGATATACCACAATCTGTTTATCCAGTCTATGGTTGATACACTTTTGGGTTGCTTCTTACTTTGTCAGTTAAATAAATAGAGCTGTTATAAATATTTGTACAGTGTGTGTATGTCTGTGTGTGTGTGTGTGTGTGTGTGTGTGTGTATACACGCACAAGTATTTTCTTTTCTCTTGGGAAAACTCCTAGTAATTGGATTATTAGTCAGACTATATACACTAAGTGTATGATGAATTTTATAAACTGAGTTCTATGTTTTTGTCTTCTCACCAGCAGTTTGAAAGTTACCGTTGCTCCAACATCTTCACCAGCATTTTGTATTTTCCTTTTTATTTCCTAGTTGAAGCCTTCTAGTGAATATGTAATAGCATTTCACTGTGGTTTTAATTTGCATTTTCCTTATGATTAATGATGCTGAGCATCTTTTTGTGTGCTTATTTGTTGTCAACACCCCCCACCTGTGAAGTTGTGTTTGACTCCTTTGCTCATTTTTAAATTGGGTTGTTTGCTTTCTTACTATTGGGTTGTAAAAATTCTTTATATATTCCAGATGCTGGTACTTTGTCAGAATTGTTCTCTAAAATATTTTCTCTCACTTATAGCTTGTGTTCATTTCCTTAATGATGTTTCTTGAAGAGCAATTTTTAACTAAAGAATTAAGAGTCTAAGTTCCTGTCATATGCTAAACTTTGGCCCTGGAGATACAACAAGGTCTAAGATTTTAGTAATTTTTTGTATTTTTCCTTTTTATTTTTTGACAAAATTTGGATCTTGTGGTTTCTGACCTACTTTTCTACCATCTTATCATTCATATTTTCACATGTTAAATATCATTTGAAAATATCTGTAATATGTACTACAAAGTACTCACATGGCTTTATCTTATATAACCACCCCTCTCTGTATTTTGGCATGTTTATGTTGATTCCCCTCAAACAAAAAAGAGTCCCACAATTCAGGAGGATCACAAGTTCAAGGCTACCTTCAGCAACTTAGCAAGACCCTATCTCAAAATAAAATAAAATTTAAAAAGTACTGGGGTTGTAGCTCAGTGGTAGTGCACTGCTGGGTTCAATCTCCAGTACCAGCACAAAAAAAAAAAAAAAAAAAAAAAACTGAAGAGAAAGAAATACAAAATCACACTCCAAAACCTCTGTACACATCTCCAATTATTTTCTAAGTACAAACGCTTATAATTACCAAGACTGAAACAAAGGCACGGCACTTGCTTATAATCATCTCTTCAGAAGGACCACAGATGTCTTGACGCAAAGATCTTGTCTTGCCCTGATTGTCATGCCAGCATATAACAAAGAGCCTGTCACATTGTAGGTGCACTATACTTACTGGAGGAAGGAAYAGAAAGAAAAAGAATTCACCAAAACACCCTCTGCCCTTCTTCCTGTGAAAGAAAATGAGAGCTTCGTGCCTTCTGTAGCTATCTACTAGCCTTCCCAGATGAAGGAAAGAAAAGCATTTTCTTCAAAGAGAAAACTTGCCAAGCAGATGCAGGTTGCCAAAGAGCTGGGTGACAAGCCCTGTTGCTGCTCAGCAATGCCCTTAAGGGGCCCCACCCCCTCCCCGTATAAAGCTGGGGTGCTGTGGGGCAGACGCAGTTGGCACTTGGCCTCCAGAGCACCAGCAAGGCACTGGCAGGAGCTATGGCAAAYGAAATGCAAGAAGTACAAGTTCTGCTGTCCCCACTGAAAGGGGGCCATCCTCCTGCAGGTAGGCCCCCACCTTTCTGTTCTGCAGATGCTGCAGCTGCTGCCCCCTCCCATCAAGGCTCAACTGGAGCACCCCAGGAGAGCAGAAGTTCTCAATCCACCCACTATTGCTTTCACTTCCTGCCACTTGATTTCCTCCTATGCTTTTGATCCTCAGCTTGTGCATAAAACCACCTGGTGATTTGTCAGACCCCCCACTGAATCAAAACCTACAAATCTAGGGGAGTATAAGGCATTCTGTGGTACTCATGGACAGGAATAGTTAGGGAAGGTGAACCTTCCCAGTTATAGGTTAACTGTGACCCATCCACACCTAGATGATTTACTAMTATGGAAACTTTGCTCCTTAGAAGTTACAGTTCTCAGACTCAGTCTCCCCAAGATGCYTGTGCCTCATCTGACTGCATACCCAGGCAAACCAGCTTCCACACACAGGACAGCAACCACATCTTTCCCTCCTCAGGCTTTAGGGCTGGGAAGTGTCAGCAGGGATGTACTTTGCCTGTCAACAAGCTGAGAAGCACTTTTTAATAAGCACACAAGGATTGAGGGTGGAGGGTGCTAACTGGAAAAGGTAGCTATCAAGGTGTTTTGCAAAGTACCCAGAGTTGTCTTTTTTTTTTAACTTATGCTATTTATATCAACACCCTGGAATATAGAAAATGGTTTTATTGTACTTAACCATATGTTCATATAGATTGGCTGGGATRTACAGGTCTATTTTTAGTTGGTTTTTTGTTCTTTCAGCTCCTTAAGAAAGACCTTAAAAGCTTGGTCACTTTGTGATTACTTTCTCTATTTTCAAAATTTAGTTATTGGTATAATTCTTTGGTACCTCCAAGCCCAGGTTATTTCAATTATCTTTGCTGCAGAGGGTGATGGTAGGTATAACCTTTGCAAAGAATCCAAATCAGACACAGGTTAGGGGTGGTGGCACATGTCTGTAATCTCAGCCACCTAGGAGGCTAAGGCAAAAGGAGTGCAAGTTCAAAGCCAGTTTTAGCAACTTAGTGATACCCTGTCTCAAAATAAAAAATAAAAAAGGGCTAAGGATGTGATTCAGTAGTTATGCAGTTATGGGTTCAAACTCCAGTACAAAAAAAAAAAAAATCAAATACAGTTTCAACATGTTCTGGTGGACAGCCCAACTGGAAAGTCAAAATCCTTGTTCTGGGCTTCCAATACTAGACACCATGCCCTGATCTCCTTTGGCAGACTACTGCCATTTTATATTTGTAATTGAATTTAGCAATATTTAACATTACGTTTAAAGGTAATGATGCTAACTAATGGTCCAGGAACTATATATGCAAATTATTGGATGAGAAACTCATTACATAGATAACAACAAAAAACAAAGAGACCCCATTCTCTTCTCACCACTTCAACCTTATAAAAATGGTTCAGCTGAAACCTGATTTGCTAAACTACGTTTATGCACAAAGAACATGGAATTAAACTTAACTAAAGGAAAGTTTGAATGAAACCACCGGGAACTTTCTGTCCCCACCACTAATGATTGCTAATTACTCTGTATACATAGCACACCATGACTCCATCAAGCATGTCACAATGCCTCTGGCATGACAATTAATTATTATGAACTGTGACACTACAGATAAGAGGTTTTGGATAATTAGAATGGAGATGAAGGCAGACTTTTGCTTCCCCACTGAGCACAAGAGAACAAAGAAGCCTCATCCTTCAGCTGGTCTCTCACTATGTATTTTAAAYCTAAACTGGTTTGCGATAGTGCAAAATTTTATTTATGGAACAAAAATAATTAGGTGCCAAAATTCCATTAAATCTTCACCTGATTTTTTTAAGCAGGAAGTCAGCGCAATACCATGAGAAAGGTATATCAGGGCTTTTGGAATCAGACCTGAGTTCAAACTTTGCTTTCATTCCACACCTCTGAGTCTCCATGTTCTCATCTCCGAAAGAGAGGTAATAAACAACATCAATCTGATAGGATTGGTGTGATGATTAAAAGAGTTTATGTAAAGTACCTGGCCCAAGAAGATTGACCCCTTTGAAATGGAGGCTTAGTAAAACACATTGCAGTCAGCAGAAATGATCATTCCCAATTTCAAAACAGCCTGATGTCGAAGCTGCATTAGGCGCTCCTACAGTAGTCAGGAAGAAAGAAATAGCAGTGGAACAGATCCTTGTGGCTGTCCCATCATAGTTAAAAATGAAGCCACTCAGAAGTCAGCCAGSCGTAACTCTCCCACCTACATGTGGAGTGCCTACCAGTTTATCTTTCATGTATATGAATATAATATATTGCAGCTCTGTTAGCCCTGGTTATACATTTATGCTGTGAAACAGACTACATTAAACTTGAGGTGGCCTGGGTTGCAGGAAGCATGCTTTGAATTTCCAGCTTTTTTGATTTGCCTCACTCTTAGTTTTATAAGCACCCCATTATAAGAACAGCATTACCAAAAATGTGTGAGTGTGAGTTGGAGGTAGCCATGGGAAGCCAGGTACATGATGAATAGAAAGAATAGCAGTTGGTGAGTTTGTCCTATATTCACTACACTTTTTAATTTGATTTAAGCCAAATRAATCAGAGCTATCAGAAGGATCTCCAATGAATCTCTAGAGCAAAGTTTTCTAGTTCATTAAAGAAAGCAGAAAGTTTGGAGGCAGGGGGTACCATCCAGTGTGAAACAAATGCAGAACCTGGGAAATGACCATACTGCCTAAGGACTGGTATCATTTTTTAAAAACAAGTAAACAAAAGTCTTGATTCTCTCTATTCCATCTGCTCWACTTATAGACGTTGGAGAGGCACAGATCTGTGAGGTTAGAAGAGAGGGGTTACAAGCCCCACTGCCCCCAAACATCACAGGGAAGAGAGGTCTGATGGCTGCAGTGAGACTGCTGCCATTTGCTCAAAGCTAATGTTGCACCCAGCACAGCACAGCAACTGCCAGACATGCGGTGGATGATGTTTCACAGAGGATCAAACAAAACCAGCAAGATTGAGTAACTTGACCAAAGCCACACAGCTGGAGGGCAATGAAGCTAGGATTGGAAAATAAACCAGGCCTCATGCCAAATTCCTCTTGCTCTAAAGTTCTCTCTCTTTGCTCACAGCCTTCTCTTGAGGGTTTTGGGGCCTTGATTGGCAACCAAAAATTTGCTGATGAATCAACTGTGAATGCAAAGTAAACATTTTGCAAACATCTACCTTTCAATTAAAATCTGCAAATGAAAGTTCTCAGTCCCAAGACAGAGTTTGCATAGACCTTTGTGTCGTTCCACTTTTTTGCATACATTCATCATGGATTAGTGAAGGAAAAGCCTAATTTTTCTCCCAGGCTTGTTCTGAGCTTAGCTACTATCAAAAACTGTGCAAAATTGGAAAATTATTATATAGAATTTAAAACTGCAAGGTCTAATTTCAAAAGTTACAAACTGCCAAATCTACCATGAAAGTACAATTCTTACACAGAGATGGGAAGGAAAAACTTGAATATACCCAAGTAAATTTAGGTGTCCTAATGAAATCATCTAAAAGAGTAACTCTCCTACCTTTTTTTTTTTTTTTTTGCCTTTAGTTCATTTTAGCTTGGGAAAGAACATAAAGTCTTACCTTAAGTATTTATATTCACATCTGTACTTAAATCATGTTAAAATGTTCAGTCAATTTCATATTTTACCTTGCCCAATTCTACTTGGTCTTCCATAAATGTTCAAAAGACAATGTAGTCTCAAACATGGAGTCACATAAACGATGACAAATTTAAACGAATTGATTTGGATGCAGTGAGACCTTGAAAAAAATCCCTTGAGTCGGACTTATCTGGTATATGTGAATTGGACCAGCATGTGATGGTATGGGATTGCAAATGCTGGTTCATCCTGATCTGGGGAGACCAGTGTGACCAGTGTTCCCAGCACAGCTTTGAAGATGACCCTCCCACAAACTAGCTCCACCTGGTTCTGTCGCCCCTTGTAGAGAGAGCCTCAACCTGTATTTCATTCAGTGCATCCATCCTCAGTGTGGGGATATGGTCTGCTGTTTCCTTCTTCTGTACATGTGTGACAAGGGAGATTCCCTCCCAGAATAAGGTAGGTATAGGAACTTTGTTCTAGAAATCCAAGGTCTGGTTTTCTAATGCTTCTAAATCATTAAGTGAGCACTCACAAGTCTGTAACGGAGGATTCAAAGATTGCTGAATAGGAGGAGGAATCCTATTTTATTGTTCTTAAGAATGAAGAACTCTCTGGTTTGTGTTTCCTTAATGTCTTTTGGTATTTATTTCTCTGAGTGCCCTGTGTTGTTTCTGAAGGAAGGCACGTGATAGATTTTATTTTGTAGGTAGATGGGAAAAGTTTGAATCATTATAAAGATTTTATAATAAAAATTATCTAGTTTGACTTCTGCCAAATTCTCCAGAATTCTCCGAAGGTGTTCATGTCAGGAGGACATCTTGCTCTCACTTTAATACACTGAGGGGCAAGAAATATTATACCAGGTGATATCTTTCATACTGAATAACACAAACAGTTACCTATGGCCAGACCCTATCTTTCTGGCAATTTCATTATTTGGTCTTCATTCACCCCTCTGGAACAACACAAAGTAATCTAAGTAATAATAACTACTAATTATTAAGTGCCTACCATGTACCAGGTGCTTATATCACCTCTATTGTCTAGAGCTGTCAGTATTATTCCCTTTTGAGAGATACCGAAACTGAGCCTAAGCAGAGTTTCAAATATTTCACTCAAGGTCACTGCATTCATTGGTTTTTCATTACTGTTATGAAATACATGAGACAGGCTAACTTTACAAATGAAAGAGTTTCATTTAAATCACAGTTCTGGTTATTCAAGGGCTTGACCAGGATTAGCTCTACTGTGGAGAGGACCTTATGGTAGGTGTCAGGAGCACATGTAAGAGGGAGAAATCACATCACCAAACAGCAAGTAAGAGAAACTAGGATGTCTTTCAAGTGCACCCTCTCAGTGAACCTAAGGACACCCCCTGGGTCCCACCTCTTAAAGATATTACCTCCCAATATTGCACACCAAGGACCAAACRCTCAGCAAGTAGACCCTTAGGACAAACTCAAACCATATATCCAAGCCATAGCAGTCACATAGCTTGGGAGTAGAACTGTCTGACACTACATGATATTTCCTCACCAGGAAACTACTCTTCAGCCCCAACATGGCAGCCCTTTCGATCTTTGAAGATGATAACCTAAGCTCCCTTGAGCCTTTGCTTCTTCAGGAGTGATTTTACTGGATTCCCTAGTTCCTCATGGGACACAGTTCCTTTCACTTTGGCCCATCTCCTCTCAAGACCCTCAGACCATCAATGTCTTTCCAACTGAATGAGTTTCAAACAAACTCCGTATTACAAAGGCCTTCTCATTCTGAGCTTCTGCTTATTTTAACATAATAATTTTGCTTCTATCGTTGTTGATAATTATCAGTCCAGGCAGAAGAAAATGTGTAGAAACAATAGCATCAGGGAAAACAAAAGGAACGCTAACAAGAAAATCATTACAGAGCACCATATTTGAAAACCACTTGTCACGGGAAGAATGGAAAGCACTGTTGGGGGAGTACTGAAACCTGAGACCAGACCTCTGATTTGATTCTTGCTGGCAGAATAGACAATGGTGCAGTGAAGGGGCTGAGGCACCCCCTTGAACATTCTTCCTGAGAAAGCCCACCCTCTGGTTTACTTCACCTGTGCTCTAGGCTGTTCAGAAAATGTTTCCATGTAATCTCACTTCTGTTGCTGATGACTTTGTATGCTTCTTTTTAAATTTTTTATTTTTGTATTCTTAAATAAAAAAATTTAAAGCAGATTTTTCTTTTCCAAAATGAATCTAACATTATAAAATTCTACAAAGGGGCTTATATAATCAATTTTTTTATAAAATAAGGCGATTTCAGTGATTAAGTAGAGTTTATTCCGTGAATACAAGTATGGGTCAATAGTAAGGTATTCATTGATATAACAACTACATTAAGGGGAAAACTCATATGATCATATCCATGAATTCTGAAAGGCATTTGAGAAAATTCAAGATCTAGTTTTTATTTTAGGTCCAATAAAATAATAATAAAAGTATAGTTTCTGCTGGGCACCTATAATCCCAGCAGCTCAGGAGGCTGAGGCAGGAGGATTGTGGGTTCAAAGCCAGCCTCAGCAACAACAAGGTGCTAAGCAACTCAGTGAGATTCTGTCTCTAAATAAAATACAAAATAGGACTGGGGATGTGACTCAGTGGTTGAGTGTCTCGGAGTTCAATCCCTGGTTCCAAAAAGAAAAGATACTTCCTTAACCTCTTGACATATATTTACACAGGGAAAGAGAGTATGAGCCACCAAAGTACACAATATGTTTAAAGAGAAAACATTAAAAGCAATCCCTTAAAAATTAAAATGGCAATTTGGGAATGTAATTCAGTTGCAGAGCACTTGCCAAGTGTGTACAAGGCTCTAGATTTGATCACCAGCACTGGAAAAAAAGGTAGCGGGTGAAGGCAAAGATATCCACCATTGTCAATATTTAACATTATTCTAAAGGAGGCAATATTATCCTTTGCAGACTATATAATTTTTAAAAATCTGAACAACCTGAAAGAATCTACAAAATAAACTATGATGAGCAATAAGAGACTTCAGTAAATCCTGTGTATAAAATCAAAAACTTTAAAATAATAACAATCTGTTAGAGTAATAATGGAAGAATAGACCTCCATTTATAATAGCAGCAATAATAATAAAATGAATAAAAGAATAAAATGCTTAGACAATGGACCTAATAATAAACAAGTCACTGAGGAACTCCAGAGAGGATGTGAACAATGGGAAAAAACCATTATGTTCTTAAACAGAGAGCTACCAGAAATGTAATATGAATTTTCCCTTTCCAAAACAATATATCATCAAGATTATTTATAGAGAATGGACAAACTATTTCTAAAGTTCTTTTGAAAAATGAGTAAGAATAACTAATAAAATTCTTCAAAGAAAATGTAACAGGAAGGGATTAACAGTTAAGTAGTGAGATACAAACTGGTGCATCCTCCATGATGGGCAATTTGGCAAGATTTAGCAAAATTCCAAATGTACATATTCCTCAGAGCTATCTGGATCACTTCTCAGAATTTATCCCACTGGTAAACTTGTGCTGATGCAGAAGTATGTGTATAGAAGGATAGTCACCACAGTATTCTAGTGACAACAATGGATTAGAAACATAAGTCCAACATTCCCAAACTGGCTAAGTAAACACAGAACATTCATATAATGGGATTCTTTTAAAAACATGTGTTAAAAGGAAAGATACTCAAGGACTGGGGATGTAGTTCAGTGGTAGAGCACTTCCCTAGCATGCTCRAGGGTTTGGGTTTGATCCTTAGTAACTCAAGGAAAAAATTTGACACACAGAGAAAGATATATTAATGGTTATTTATGCTCAAGTGGAAAAAAATGAAGAGGCTGCAGAACAAGGTGTGTCTTATGCTACCATTTTTTTTAAAAAAAATAATGCATAAAATATCTGTGGATAAAGACATAAGAAACTTGCAACATGAGCAGTATCTAGGGAGATGATCTGGGAGGTTGGGAAATAATGGTAAGAGGGAGATCACAGACCTTTTCAAGACTTTTGAATTGTGTCTTCTATATGTATCACATAACCGAAAATAATTAAATAATAATTTCTAAATAACAGTGATGAAGTCAAATCACTAGGGCATTGAGAAATAGGAGAGGTTCTCTTTATTTTTCACTTTATTGGAACTAGTCACAGAAAATTGCCCATGTGGCATTTCCATAAAAAGAATTAACAAGTTCAAACAAATCAATGTCCATTTAGCTATTTCTCATTTGAGCTTGTCAGATTTTAGATGTACAAATTTCCTGGGAACTGAGAAAAGTATTTGCTTTGACTTGCAATCTGAAATGGGTTGTTCATTTCCAAAAGTTGATTCCATTGGACATTGTTAAACACTTGAATTGCTGTTAGGTCATCTGTAGCCTAATTAACACTAATTGATCTCTTGAATGGCAGGATTATTAATGCAGTTTAATTACTCATTAGAACCTCTGAATGAGGCCAATGTGGAGGTTTGGGGTCTGGGCTGGAAGGTGAGTATTCAGTGGAATTTTAAGCACCTCTGTTGAATTAAATGCCTGTTAGCACTGTGAGTTCTGACTTTTGGCACATCCCTCAGAATCTGACTTTTGAAAGCTTTGGTTGGAAAAAAAAAATGCAAGCCATGCAAAAGCTTTAATCTCATAGGAAAACCAAGGGTCACATTGYATTGTTAGCTGCTATCACAAAGAATGTAATTGGTTTGATAACAAGAAAAAATGTTTTTCAGTGAAATGCCTAAGGGAGTATATTGTTATTCTCCTCCCCAAAACTAAGGTGTAACCTTCTGCTTTTTCAACCTCAGTTCCACTTCTTTGAGCATAAACAAGCAGACCTCAGCCCTTCCTCTGCCCCCACCTTTTATCCCCAGAAAATATTTTTTTCTTTTTATTTTGTTGTTTTATATGAAAATTTAGAACTTTAAAAAATAAGTTCAAAAATATTTTCAAGTCTAAATCCATACCTTGAATAACAAAGCTGTTCTAACTTTCGTGTTGATGCTTGTTTATAGTCAAAGCTGGAAGGATGCGAATTCCCAAAAAGCAAGAAATGGGTGTCTTGGAGAGACATACCAAAAAAACAGGATTGGAGAAAACAAGGTAGGGGTTGTTGATTTCTTCTGCCTCCAGAAGTAGTTTTAGGGCAATCCTCTATGCACTTGAAGGCAGCCAGTTAGAGTAGGGTGGGTGTCATGATTGATGGTGACTTGGGCAGTAGGGTGACTACCAAATGAAGACTCTCTTCTGGGCTCCCTGAATAACCCACCACCCATCCTCCTCCTCTCAGCAGCCAGCCCAGCTGCCTCCTACTGACTTTTTAAGGTGTCCAAGCCTGACACACACATCCCTTTACCCTTTAAAATGTCACTAGGCTGGCCTATTTTCATAACATGCTTTCTACTGAAGCAAATCTCCTGAATTAAAAATAAATGGCTATTTTTGTTTTGAATTCACCTCTCAATTATTTAAGCAACTAATGGCCGCTATAGCTGGCATAGCTGGAAGGCATATAGATTCTGAGGCTTGTCTGCCCTGGCTTTTTCCACCTTGACCTTGACATAATACACTATTCCCAGAACCCAGCAGAGAGGGGTGGGCTGAATCCCAAGCACAATCAGCCCAACCACTCTACGTCTTGTTAAGGAAAATGAGTACATTTCAAAAATAAATAAATTGGTTCCTCCAAGTATCTCAGTGATGGGTGCTTCAGAGACTTAATTTTAAAATGTTTTCTATAGATCGGTTGATGAGTGATTCAAACAGAGTTAATGGAATGATGTTCAAGGCACTGCCCTCCATATCAGAAAGAGAATATGGAGGAAGCATACTGGATTTCTTTGGCCCTTTTCATATAAAATTGTTTTCAAATCAATTTTCAAGGTTCCCTCCCCCCCCCAATTTATAGGAAGGAATTATTTTAGGATCTCTGCCACATTAGAATGAAATACTGATTTGCCCCCATTAGCAACAAGCCATTTGTTTTCTTGATATCAGAAAATAACCATCGTCTGAGGAAAGTGAAGCCCTAAGTTCTTAAAACTGTGGAGGGAAGCATGCTCATTATTTATCTTCTGACCCAACATCTAGGACAGGTCCTAGAATAGTGAGTGCCTGCTGTAAATGATACCAGACAGTTTTGAATCACAAGCTAGTTGACTTAGGGAGCCTATTCTGTTTCTAAGGCCTGATTCAAGCATAAGCCTTGTTTATTGGGACACTGGTTCTCACGCCTGAGCCAGGAGCTCAAGCACTGAAGAAGCTGGGCAGGCAACCTGTAGAAAGGTCTTTTCTCTGCACCTCAGAAAATGGAAATTTAGTATTAATTCTAACATCAGTTGAACAATTCAGGCAGAGGAATTGGTTAGCGAGTAATAAAGTAGTGATTGGAACCTTTTTAAAAATTCATTTGTTTTCTAGTAGTCATTGAAAGATGGGAATTGGATTACTACAGACTTAAACAGCAAGAGGACTCTCTATGTTGCCCTAATTACCATGGACAGATTCTGGTTATGGGAGGCTTATAGAATGGGGGAAGCATTTTAAAGAAAAATAAGGGACTCTTAGAAATATGAACTGGCTAGGCCTCCTCCCAGGTGCCTTGGAGGAAGCCTGTATATTGACAGACCCAGATTCATCAGCTGCATTTGCTCCCCATAAATCCTTTCTGCTATTCACATCTCCTACGCAGGCATGTACACCAGATAGGAGAGTCCCATTTTCACAAACAAACACTTTTCCTACATCTTCTTGTAGAATAGCTTTTTAAATTATCATTATTGTTTTTAGTTGTTGATGGACCTTTACTTAATTTATTTATATGCAGTGCTGAAAATCGAAACCAGTACCTCACACATGCTAGGCATGCATTCTGCCACTGAGCTACAATCCCAGCCCCGAGAATAGCTTTGTTTTAAATATTTTTTAAAATATATTTTATTCATTTATTTATATGCAGTGCTGAGAACCGAACCCATTGCTTCACACATGCTAGGCAAGTGCTCTACCGCTGAGCCACAATCCCAGTCCCCCAGAACAGCTTTTTTCTTTTTTTAAATATAGAAAATAAATTGTTTAAGAACCATCAGTGTCCATTTTCTAATAACTTCTAGTAACCAACACAAGTCATCCAGATGAGCAAACACAGACTTCCCTTCCAGACATTGTGCTTCAGACTCAGCCTGATTGAAACCCTCCCACAAAATAACTTGGCCTGAGAGAAAGAAGCCAGACACAGAAGAGTATGTGCTATAGATGGTTCATTTTATGAAACACAAAAACAGTCAGAATTAATCTCTGGAGCTGTAAGTCAAGGTAGGTGTTATCCTTAGGGGCAGTTGGTTTGACTAGTGTTTATAGTCTGTTAATATTCACCAGGCTATATACTTACAACATGTGCATTTTTCTGTGTGCATATTATATTTGAATGAAAGGCTAACAAACAATTATAATATTAACTTGGACCGCAAAGTTTATTGCAGCACATGGGTATACAGAGGCAGAATGTGTGTCTTCTAGATGTTGCCAAGTCAAACAAACAGCCATCCATATAAATCATTTAACTCTTCAGTGCAAAAATTTTAAATCCTGATTGAAGTTTCCTTTCATCTTCACAGTGCCATTGCAAATGTTGCCAAAATACAGACGCTGGCAGCCCTGAATGACACACTGGACAAGGTGAGTGTGCATAAGGTGAACCACGTGATACTCCAACTTGGTATTTGCCCAATGTGAGCCAGCAGATGACCACTGAGGTTTTTCCCAGCCTAGTGGTTTTTGATGTTCTTGTGGGGAAAAAAATCTCCTCTTTGTGAGAGGAACATAAAATGGTTAGAGTGAGAAAAACTATTTCTCCCAAATTCCTAAATAAAACATTTCAAAAAATAAGGAACTGACGTGAAAATCATGAAGCTGAATGTGCAACACTTTCTCATGCCAAATATTTCTGGAAAACATTGGCATGTTTTTATAAAAGATAGCCCGTGTATTGGGAATTCAGCAGTTTTTGATCTTCCTCCCATCTCGGCATCCYCCCATGGAAATATTTGATTTTAGGGACAGGTGGGTAGTGAAGGGTTACATGGTTTAGGGCTGGAGGAAGGCTGAGTATATCCAGTAAGGTCTGTTAATAAAAACAGTTGATCACTACCATTTTTACTTCTATATCCTGAATTTCTTCTAAGTAGCTCAAGAAACTCAGAAAAAGCTTACCAGGTAGATAGCAATTTGGTTTGTTGGATTCAACTGTTTGTTTGTTCCTAAATGTTGTCGGGAAGCTTAGTGGGGGCCTTTATTCTAAGTCTAAGAGGCAGGTACATTATATTCAAGGTAATGAAGGACTATTCTTTCTGCTACTACACTTTAATTGAAGGGACRGGCCCGGGTAGCTTCTGTAGAAGAAAGACTTGCTGTTATAGGGAAGTTGAAAACTTCCCCCCACATTTCTGAGGTTTGATCACGTAGTCTGAAATAAATCAGTATAGGCAGATTAACAGAGAAAATGTTATATACAATTATGTACAATGTTATAGCATGCATAGGGGTATCACGGGGGGAGAAAGTGAGTATCCAAGACCCCAGTGAGGCTTAGAAACTCATGCACCTGCTGCATAGGGAAAAAGGAGGTGGAAATGTGGGYAATTTCAAATGAGAATAAATAATTTTTAGGGAAGATGAATGGGTTTGAAGAACAGAGAACAGCTTATAACAAAGTCTGTCAGGGCTCTGGATGTGGCATGAGCTCTAATCTTCCTTCCTGCAATATGCATCAATCTCCACTGGATGATAAGACAACTGGGGAAGGGATTCACAACTGAGAACTTTCTGGAAGATTAATGCTATAGAAAGTTAGGGGAGCCTCAGAGAAATCTCCCTGCATTAGCTACTTTCTAGGTTCCTTGAGTCTGAGTAACCAACATGCAAAAGTGCCATACTTTCAGATATTGTTTTGCCAAAATCAGGGGATAGAAACTGTGCACCTGGCCTCTGGGGTCTCCATTTGGTGYCACTGGCCACTCACTATCAGCTCAGCCTTGAACAGATTACTTATCCTGTGCCTCAGTTTCCTCCTTAGTAAAGTGGCAGTGAAAAAGAGCATATAACTTGCAAGTTTGTTGTGTAGAATAAGTGAGTTCACACACATGAATCTTTTAGAAGAGTGCTAGGCACAGAGTAAGCTCTGCACCCTCTGTTAGGATTAGTAGCACTCGTTTWATGGCAGTGAAATGAAAAAGAATGTCTAAAATACATGATGTCACAGGTCAGATTGTRTAGAGCAAGATTTTGATGCTGAGCTATAGCCATAGTGTTCTAACATGAGAGGACTTTATTCTTCCAATCAGAGATGCAGGGAGGCTGTAGGTGATTCTGCTACCTGGCTTCAGAAGCAGGTCTGATGGAGGATGCCCTGTCAGGGTAACAAAAGCTGCATGCACCTGCATCTCATTCTCATGTTGCTGAACCTCATCCTTAGGGTATCAGAATGTCTCCTCGCCTACAATATAAGGCAGAGTCTATATTGTACTTTTATAGATATTTATGCTAATGTCTATGACATAGAGGGTTCTTTCTCTTTCCATAAAAAGTATCACTGCTGGCCCAGGCATGGTGATGCATGTCTGTAATCCCAGTGATTCTAGAGTCAGGAAGACTAGACAGGAGGATGACAAGTTCAAAGCCAGCCTTAGCCATTTAGCAAGGTCGTAAGCAATTTAGCAAGACCCTGTCTAATTTAAAAAAAAAAAAAAAAGTAAAAAGCTCTAGATATGTAGCTCAGTAGTAAAGCAGCCATAGGTTCAGTCCACAGTACTTAAAAAAAAAAAAAAGTATTACTTCTTTGTTTCAAAGATGGAAGGCAGGAGAATCACAAGTTCAAGTCAACCTAGGCAACTTAGCAAGACACCATATCAAAATAAAATAAAAATAGTTGGGGATGTAGCTCGGTGGTAGAGTGCTCACCTAGCATGTGCAAGGCCCTGGGGTCAGTCCCCACCACTGAAAGGAAAGATAAAAAGAAAATCCTCTCCCCCAGATAATAATAATAACCAAATTGTATTTAGAGAACAATGAGATGGTATGCTATTAAAAATGCTTTTAAAGCAACTATACTTATTTTAAAAATCCAAACTTGGCCACCCAGCTCAGTGCTAACTGGAGCAGGATGATAGCTCAAACTGCAGATCTCTGGTTAGGAGAGCAGGTCTGGCATCAGCCACAACCTGCTTGATTCCTGTGCTGGCTCTGTCACTAACATCAGTGTGACCTTAGGCAAATGGAATGTGATTAATAGTATCTACTTCATAGGAATATTATGAGAATAAAAGGAAGTCATATAATACATGCAAAGTAAGTACTTCATACAGTCAGCCCTCAGTAAGTTGGCTTCTATTCCCAGGCATGCATCTAGCCTCCCATCACTTGGAGTCCCAGGCACAGGATAAGGAACAAACATGTGGAAAAAAATAAGTTCCAAGAGAATCATAAGTGACTGGCTTTAATGTGGAAGTGGGTGTGCTAAGTAAAGAAAGAAAAATCTCCCCTGAATCCATAATTCAGCCTGAAGCTTAGTAGGATTTCATACTACAACTCCCTCAACCTGGGGTTGAGATGGGCTGACCACTAGATCTGCTGAGATCAGTGGTTGTCAGGGTCTGGGGTTGAGGAAGAGACCAGCTGCAAAGGAGGGAGAGAATTTGGGGAGGTGATGGAATAGTCCTGCGTGTGGTGGTGGTCATGGATTGTATGCACTTATCAAAATTCATAAAGTGGTACATTAGTATGGGTAAATATTGTGAGTAAATTATGCCTTGATTTTTAAAACTGAAAAAAATACTACCTAAACTATATTGGCTGATACAAAAATATAAAAGATATAAAAGATAAGGAGATAGAAATATAGATCTAAATCTTTTGATAGATTTCACCTTCATGATAGTGCTTTTCCCCCTATAATATATATAATCATGGAGACCTAACAATATAAATTGGCCAGAAGAAATACAAGAGCAGAATTGAGGACGCCTGAATTTATTAACATTCATTTACATCCTCAGCTACAATTATGTCTAGTCCCAAGCAACCATGTTATTCCTTATTTCTATTTTAAGAATGTAAGAGTCTAAAACAACCCCTATCCATAAGATCACATCAATCATTCAGTTATGACAAGAAATCTCTACCTGTACTCTATTCATCTCTGAATATCTTACTTTCAAATCAACTTAAGGTTTAGGAGATTTGGGAGATTTAAAGTAATCCCCAAAGGGCTGGAATTGTACAAATATAAGAGGGGAACAGCCTAAACTTCCTTCCCACAATTTTCCCACCGCACCTTCCACATAAGACTTTTTTCTTCCAACCAGCTACACTTCTTCCCTCCCCACCTCTCCAACCACCCATTCCCCACCTCTCTATCCCTAAACCATGAGAGGATTCAGGTCCCCCACTGGCTGACCACATGGTGTGATATTCCTACAGAAAAGGGGTTCTGGAACCTGAAATCTCCCTGGTCTGAAAAATCTGGGAGACCTAGTCTTAGACTAAGTTGTACTACTTAGAGCTACTCCTTAGAAGTTATTTAACCTTTTAGATGTCATGTGTCTCCTCTGAGATATATAGTGGCTCATTTGCTTTAAAAAAAAAAAAAGAAAAGAAAGAAAGAAAAAAAATTAGGGCTAGAAGTGAAAGAGAATGATACTGCCAAATATATTAATTCTCTGGACAGTCATGGAAATTAAATTTGGCAATAGCTGTGTCGCTTCTAAGCACGTAAAAGTATCCAGTTAAAACCTTAGTAATGGAGGTGGGTTATAGCATAGAGGTGGGTGGCATGTGGAAGCCTGGTAAAAGTCTGGGTTACTTTTTTCAAGTTGCCAGACTTTGAGTCACCACCCCAAAGTCAGTGAGAGGCATGTGAAATGGGATCCTGGGGGAGAAAAAACTATCAAAGACATCTGCAAATTTAAAAAGGWTCTTCTTGTTCTGTAGATTAACATCACCGTAGGAGTATCCTTGAATTTCATTGACATGAGCTGAATGTTTTGTTTTAAGCACTTTGCTTAACAGAGTGTGGAAATTTAAGTGCCAACATTGGAGTTGGAAGTTAACACCCTGGAAAGATGAATGGGAGAGCGGCAGTCTGCTCCTACTACCCAATGTCAGGCTCTAAAACAAAACCTGCTGCTGATTTTCTTACATCTAGAATTTCCTTCACAGCTCCAGTCATAAAAACCTTTATCACACTTCCTTTGCTTTTTGTGCAAAACTAAAAATATGGGCTCTGAGGTCACAGCTCCCCACAATGAAGGTAAATTCTCAACATGGGAGTTTCTCTTGATCTGCTTTTCAAGTTCAATATGYTGCCCCTGTGATGAAGCCACAGCAAGGCAGAGTCCTCACACATACAGAGCCCTGGGATTCTTCCTCTTCTGAGGTTCCATTAGATTTCTTGCCCTAATGAATCAAACATGAAACACCTTTCGTTCTGCAAACACTATCATTTTACAAAGGCTAATGAAGAAAATTCCAGTTAATTTGCCAGTCTAAACCAAGCCAGCTGGTTGTAGGTTGTACTCTGGAAAATGAAGTCTACTTATGTCTAACTCAGACTTGAAAACCAAACCTTCCTATCTCCATTGATACAAAATCTACAGAAAAGATTTATGCTTTCAGGGAATGAACATTTTATTTACAGTTTCATCAACTTTGATGTAAGATGCTTTATGGATAAATATAAATATAATGGATAAATATACAGACTCTCTACCCACAGCACAAAAGCCTTCTACATTAGGATATCSCTGGTGGATAGGGTCAAGGAATGAAAAAGAGAATTTGAATCTCCTGTTATATTTTCAAGAGTTGTTGTAAAACTCTCTTATTGGATCCTGAAAACCTCTACACTTGTGACTTAATAATTATGAGCACCTTCTCTCCACCCCCCACACTTTCTCTTATTTATTTGTGTGTGTGTGGGGGGGGGTGTGCACGCAAGGGAAGGACTGGAGATTGAACCCAGGGTGCTCTACATCCCCAGCCCTTTCTTTTTATTTTGAGACAGGATCTCACTGAATTGCCCAASCTGGCCTCAGACTCCAGAATAGATGGGACTACAGGCATGCACCACCATGCCCTACCTATAGGCAGTTTCTCTAAGACTATTATCTTTAGCAAAATTATTTCCACTTCTTAATTCTTTTGATTTTTACTTTTTTCCAAAAACTTTTCCAAACCAATTCACAGATGGCCAACAGGCCCTAGAGGCTGCCTCGGACATCCAGTCATTCTAACCTGTGGCACTGCCCTTCTGAGAAGCAGTTGAGTTAAGCAATGCTTCTAGAACTTCAGTTAAATGTCTTCGTTAAAATATAATCCTTAACTCTCATGTACCACTGATGGTAGTGTAAAAATGGTACCAACACTGAGGATCATACATTTAATAAAACTGGATTGCCATAGGAGCCAACATTTCCACTTCTAGGTATACAATTAAAAGCTGAAAGTGGGGACTTGAACAGATATCTGCATACCAGTGCTCATAGCAGTATTACTTGTAATAACCAAAAAGTGGAAACAACCCCCCAAGTTTCTGTGGATGGTGAATGGATAAATATACAGACACTGAAATTTAATTCAGCCTTTAAAAAGAAGGAAATTTTCATACATACTTTAACATGRATGAATCTTGAAGATATTTTATGCTAAGGAAAATAAGTCAGAAACAAAAAGGAAGTCGCCAGGTACTTGGGACAGGAAGTTGCTTAATGGGTACCAATCTGGGATGATAAAAGAGTTCTGGAGATGAATGGTGGTGATGGTGGCACAATAATGTGAATGTATTTAATGCCACCAAACTGTCCATACAATTTAAAAATGGTTAGAATGGTCAATTTTATGTTGTATTTTACTACGATTTTTGGGGGGAGGGGAGCAGATCCAAGAGATTGAACTCAGGGCACTCAAGCCACATTCCCAGCCCTATTTTGTATTTTATTTAGAGGCAGTGTCTCACCAAGCTACTTAGTGCCTAGTTTTTTGCTGAGGCTGACTTTGAACTCACAATCCTCCTTCCTCAGCCTCCAGAGCCACTGGGATTACAGGCATGCACCACTGCACCTGGCTTACAATTTTTTTAATTTAATTTTTTTTTTGTACCAGAAATTGAACCCAGGAGCATTTAACCACTGAGCCACATCCCCACCCCTTTTTATTWTTTTTTTCTTGAGTCAGGATCTTGATAAGTTGCTGAGGCTGGCTTTGAACTTGTGATCCTCCTACCTTAGCCTCTTGAGCCACTAGGATTACAGGAATGGCTACCATGCCCAATCAATAATTTTTTTAAATGACCAAAAATAGTGTAACCTGTAAATTGTAGAGATCATCTTGGAGATTACCAAATAACAAGACTGAATTAAGCAGCAAGTGGGTTCTACCACACTCTCCTCCCTTCTCCTTTCCTTTCATACTTCCACCTGTCATCTTTCATACCTAAAGAACCACAATTGACATGTGGCTTTATCCCTTTCAGCCCCAACTTGTCTTGCCCCACCTCACCTTGGCTAATTGCCCAGATCTCTGTTATATGAAGCTGTTTACTTCTTTCTCACCCCTCTTTTACCTTACATTTGACCTTAATTGTCAAATTGTTCTTCCCACCTGGAATCTCTTGAAAGTGAGTTAAAGCTAAGCTGAAATAACCCAGTTTGAGACTAAAGACACCCAGTCTGGAAGCATACTACTGAAGTTGGTGACTTCTTAAGTCTCCTCTCATTCTAATGTTAAAAGAAATACAAAACAAACACTCTGCCCTTCCCACGCTGTAAAATGCATGTCTTGKGCACTGACGATAACTCATCTGACAAAAAGGAAAAAGTTCCTAATGCCTTTTCAGACTCTGAAGCAACATTTGTGACTAATACCTCAATTACTGTGTTCCAATCTGCTAGAATGTCAGCAGGGACCATCCTTGGGCTTAATTATTATACAACTTGTACCTGCTCGTGGTAAAAAGAAAAATAAATAGAAAAATACTGATAAGACAAAGGAAAAGCAGAGTTGCCCATGATTCTATCCCCTTAGCAGTAACCATTATTAACAATTCAGTGTATATTCTTCCAGTATATTTAATTTTTTAAGACCAAGAAGAAAGGCCTTCTTAGAGTCAAGTTTCACATAAAAGGGACATCTGTGGGCCTATAGCTTGGGCAGGGATATTTGAGATGAGATGTAAGACACATGTGTTTTCCCTGGCTTAGACGAGCCCAAACAAACCATAAACAATGTGATGCTTGGGGTCAGGAACAGTTTATCTCCCCCTTTTATTTAATTAGAGTGTCAAGGAAAATGCATCTAAGCTCTATGGTTATAAGTTAAATTCCTAGCAAGCTGATGCACCCCTTCCTTGCTGGCTAAAGGGATGTCCTTAAAGTACTCGCTTTAGTCAGCTTTTTTGCTGCTGTCACCAGAAGACACGACCAGAAAAATCATAGAGGAGGAAAAGTTTATTTAGGGCCTCACAGTTTCAGAGGTCTCAGTCAATAGACAGCCAGCTCCATTCTTCTGGACTCAAAGTGAGGCAGAACATCATGGCAGAAGAGTATGGCAAAGGGAAGCCGCTCACATGCTGATCAGAAAGCAGAGAGACTCTACTTGGCAGATACAAAACATATACCCCACAGGCACGCCCCCAGTAACCCACCTCCTCCCACCACACCCTACCTGCCTTCACTCACCACTCAATTAATCCTATCAGGGGATTAATTCACTAATTGAGTTAAGACTCATAATATAATCATTTCTCCCCTAAACCATGTTGCCTTATCTTACACATGAGCTTTTGGGGGATACCTGACATCCAACTATAACAGCACTTTTTGTTATATTGATGGACTTGGAAACCAAAAACTGGAATGGACCCAAAAGATTACTGGGTCCAAATTCTCCTCCTAGGAAAACTACGGGTGAGGGACATGGCAACTCTGGGCATCCTTCCCATTTTAGGTTGTCCTTAATGTGAATTCCAAAAGGTCTCTTTGTTTCATAGGAAATTCTTCATGTTGTCAAAATGTCTCAGTCTGTGTTAATTTGAATCCATTTAAGCCTGTTTCCTCATAGATGTCTTCCATGGAGATGACTAATAAGGTCTTTGGTTACCTGAATCTAGTATGTCATTCCTTGGTCTTCTCTTCATGAAGCAGTTTAGAATGGACTACATGGAATGGCCAAAGTCATGCCATTTTTAACCTTATAAACAGCAATTTCATGCTTTGACCTAATAAATAACCATAACTCTTCTTAACTTCTTTCATAGACTCTTTATTTCTGATTTTTTTGATAATGGAAACCCCTGCCAGGACCTTTTCCAATGTTCTGGTAGCCTTCTTATGATACTAACCCATATATAAAAGCTAGTGTCCAAATAATTGTTAATATTACAAAGCATCAATGCAAATATAATTAATCATTTCTACTTTTTAAACTGTTACTTCAAGACATAAATATAAGTGCACATGTATTATATATTCTCACATATCATATATTTTATAATTTTAAAAATTCAAGACAAGTTAAAGAGGGAAAAACCACTTTAACATGTTTCCATGGATCCAGGATGGAAATGGTATGGAAAAAAAGAAGTATCATATAACAAATCAACAAAACTGTGAAATTCCCAACCAGCTTGTATTGCTTTCTATGACTTTAATATTTCATGACCAAATATGTCTAATATGATTTTTTTTTCTTCCCTTCTCACCTTTAGCTCAACCATAAATTTCCAGCCACAGTGCACATGGCACATCAAAAACCCACACCCGCTCTGGTGAAGGTCACTCCACTGAAAAAGATCTACATTATTCAGCAGCCTCGGAAATGTTAAGCTAGGATGTGGGACGTAAAATACAGCCACCTGGCCACCTGCCGCCAGCATGAAACAGCTTAGGAAAAAAGGACCAAAATTGTCCATAGGCCTAGTGCACTTGCTTGGTAAAGAAAACAAGTTTTGTATCTTTCCTTTTGACTTTAGATAATAAAGCATCCAAAACTAGAAATCTGATGCATTCTTGTGACTCTTTTTGGTGCATGTCAGGATCCCATGGATATTTACACATATAATTCCATAGAGTAAGTAAAGAATCCAGAACACCCAACTATTCCACTCCACTGCCACTGCCCTGGGTCAGTGCTGTCTTCCTGGTGGCTGACCCCAATTTGTTCCACCCACACTGAGTTTTCCTTGCCAGAAAAGTCTAGTGTGGAGCACTCTGAGCTTTGCAAGGGCCAATGTTTTATGTAAACTTAGGTGTGACTCTTAATCTGTATGTCTTAGGATGTTCAAATTGTCACTTGAGGTAAAATGTCTTTTCCCTTTTTCAAGGTCCCCACATAAATACAGTTTGTTCTTAAGATTTAGTAAGGAAAAACGAAAAAAAGTTAAATTGATTATAAACATATATTCTTCTGCCAAACAGTCAAAGATGAAAGGTAAAACTATAGTTTCCACAGATTTGCTGACAAAAGTTAATGCTCTAGAATTAGGAAGGAGATTCTGGTACTGCGCAGCATTGCTGTTGGACTGTGGGAGTTGATTTTTTTGAGTTGGGATGGAAAAGGAAGTATTGCTAAGCCTGTGCTTAGCACTCCTACCCTGCCATCGCAGACACAYACGTGCACACACATGCACACACACATGCACAAACTTCAAACACTTCATGTCTTCACATGTGAATAGCCAAGGGCATCCTCAGATGATGGTAGGGAATAGCCCTATTCTTTCTCCACTTTCTTTCTCCTCAGAGGTTAGCTGTAACTCAGTATTCTGCCATTCTGTACCCTGAGTTGATCATGATATCCAGCAATAAGCTCCTCTCTTTACCCAAGGAAAGGGATCAGCACTGTAGCTCATCCTTCTGCAGGTTGACAATCCTTAGAATCAATCTGGTGCCAAGTCACTCTCTGATTCCTGGAAATCCAAAGATATCTGCCTGAAGACCAGTTTTCATATAGATGCATCCTCTCTCTTCTGAGGCATTGTTTGGTTCAGTAATAAGAGAATTATTTGAGACAATATAAAGCTTTTAGGTAGAGCCAGCATAAATCCATAAGACAGTCCTAACCACCCCACTTTGGCCTAGCCCAGCTCCCAGACCTCTGCAGCTACTGTCAGGATACTTCTGTTGCAAAGAAAGTGCACAGAAGTTTAAAATTAATTCCCAAGGGGACAGGAGACCGGGTTAAGATTTAGGAGACTGAGTTCCACTTCTGACCCTTACTAATTCTGAAACCTTAAGCAAAACACTCATCCTTCTGAAGCTTGACAAATATAGCCACAACACCCAACTCCCTATTGAGCCTCCCAGTGCTGCATACCCCCAAGACGAAAAAAATGACCACTGAGATTTATAAAAGCTATTTAAAGAGGAGTAGTGAAAGCAAGATAGAAGCTGCCAGAGTGAGAGGAGTAGGAGGTGAACTGCAGGAGATGGTATAAGCTGAGCCTAAAATAGAAAAGTCTGAGGAATGCTGAAGAATTGGGACTGGAGGGAGGCAAGGAGAACACACAAGGGGGATAAGAGAAATGAGACACTAAGAATGGCACTGCTGATTCCATTAGGTTGAGATGCAGGGCAGCCCCCACAGGATTAAGAAGAGAAGTGCTCAACTCCCTCTTGTCTAAAGATGAAGGATGTACTGCGATGAAAAGAAGATGCTCACARGCAGACTATGTTGTAAGGTCCGGAGCATTAATTTAGGTCCACAACTGCAAGTCATTTAAATCACCAAGCCACAGGAAGCAAGAAGTTTGATGTGAAGCCCAGCGTGGTGGTGCACACCTGTAATCCCAGTGGATGGGGGGATGGGGGACTGAGACAGGAGGATCGMAAGTTCAAAGCCAACCTCAGTAACTATGAGGTGATGAACAACTCAGTGAGAACCTGTCTCTAAATAAAATACAAAATAGGGCTGGGGATGTGGCTCAGTGGTCGAGTGCCCTTGAGTTCAATCCTTGGTACCCCCCACCCAAAAAAAGAAGAAAATTGGTGTGAGTTTCAAGTCTGAAAGAAAACCAGAATCATCAGAAGACTGTATCAGAAGAAAAAAGACAAGGCCCATGAAAGAATTCTGTTGTGACATAGCTACATAGGCAGAAAGCCACAGGGGCTAGTCCCTCTCCCCATCAAGGAACAAAGCCCTGCATGGATGTGCTGTGGCTTCACTCAAGAGCTTTGTGGCATGTCACAGTCCCAGAAAAAGTCATGGCAATGGGGAAGGATGCCCGGAGGCTGGAGATTCACTGGCATATACTCTTCTTCAGCTCATTTCAGTTCAGTTAAAAAAATCTTCATGCAAGCTGTGTATGGTGGTGCATACCTATAATCCCCATTGCTCAGGAGGCTGAGATAGAAGGATTGCAAGTTCAAAGCCAGGCTCAGCAACTTAGTGAGACCCTGTCTCAAAATAAAATATAAAAAGGACTGGGGATGTGGCTTGGTGGTAAAGCATCTCTGGGTTCAAACCCCAATATCAAAAATAAATAAGTAAATAAAAATGTTTAGAAAATTCAAYGCAAAGTTTAGTGGTGAACACTTATAATCACAGTGACTCAGGAGGCTGAGGCAGGAGGATCAAAAGTTTGAAGCCAGTCTGAGCCGCTTAGTGAGAACCTGTCTCAACATTTAAAAAGGGCTAGGGATGTATCTCAGTGGTAGAACACCCCTTGGTTCCATCCCAGTACCCCCTCCCCCGCCCTTACCAAAAATTAAAAAATAAAAATAAAAAACAACAAAAAACAAAAAAACAAAAAACTCTATATGTTAGGCACTGGGATATAAAGATGAGTAAGACACAATCCCTTCCACCAGGATCTCTTAAACCAAAGGGAACATAGGCATGCCAACAAATTCACAGAAGAGACTTTCCACATGGCTAGGAGGAGGTGATATGAATTGGGCTTAAGAAATCACCTGAGGGTCATGTTCAGTCAAAGAAATAATGTAGCTGTGGAAATCAATCATAAACAGGCTTGAGTTAAGCTTTTTATTATGAAATTTTCAAACATACATAAAGTTTGGGTCAATATAATTATTGAGCCCTGGGGGTTTCAACCATGTGCCAAATCATATTTTAGCCAAGCATCTAGGTATATTACCTCCAAAAGATAATCCCTGCTGCCAATGTCTCGGCTTGGCACAGAATCACGAGCCACTCACACTTTGTAGATTCAAACAGCAATCCTTTATTCCCGAACTCACACCGGCCTCTACAAACACGTTCTGGGGAAATCCCGTTCTGCCCGCCCCATTCACCTACTCCACGAGGCTTTTTTCCTAATCCCATTTGAATCTCACGAGAACTCAAGCAGCAGGAACACCCTAATCCCAGAAGCAATAATCTTCAACCTCCAACTTCCCTAAAACCCCTATTGTCTTAAACCTGGAAACGCCCTAAACTTGTCTTAAACCGGGAACGCCTTAAACTCAAGGAGCGGGAAACTTCCTCAAACCTGATCAGCTCTAAACCCGGATCCGCCCTGGTCTTTGAGCAAGGTCACCTTACTAAAGCATACATGCAATGTCCCATCGAATGTCCTCTAAGCAACATGGGGTACACTGGCAAGGAAATTTCGATGCGTCATTCCTACTTGGCAATGGCCCTCAGCACCCTGCTGTGTTCTCTCTCCCTCCCCCTTTTCCCTTTCTCTCTCTCTCTCTCTCTCTCTCTCTCTCTCTCTCTCTCTCTCTCTCTCTCCTCTCCCTCTTGCTTTGTCTGTAAATTGAATATTCACAAATATTGTGGAGCAAAAGGGAGTAAGCTACCAAGAGTCTTTCACCATAAAATGGAGGCTCTCATTACTATGCTAGCTACAAAGTCAAAGCAAACAAGACAAACAGCTGAGCATGTATCAAGTGGGAACAGCGCTGTTGAGAAATCAGAGCCCCAAGAACTGGAACTCCAGGTGGAATAGGAAGATGTCAAGGCAAATGCAAAGTTGCTCTGGGTAACCGAGATACAGGAAGGAAACATAAGAGGAAATTAGTTCTTGCAGAAGGAAAGGATGTAGAGAAGGCAGGGGAATAGCTATTCCTGAGGCCACTCCAAAAATTTTTTTTAAAAAATGGGATGAGAGAGGAACAAAGAGGATAAATTGAAGGCAGGAAAAGCTAAAGCCAATATATCCAACAAATATTTGCTGGAGTCCTCCTTTGTGATAGTCTTTCTTCAAAAGGAACCCAAGTCCAATTTGGCACATATTGTATTTTAAAATGAATGTCCAGATGTCAGCTGGAGTCATTACTTCTCTTCAGAATAGGAAAGACTGGCTCAAACCCCTGTCACTTGCTGTCCCCGTGCCCTTCCATCTTTTCTAGGATTTCCCCTAAAAGCCTACTCCAGAGAGATAAACATCACCAACGGTTTGGTAGGGAGCTTTCAACACAGTAAGGAGACAACTGCTAATAGAATATTCGAGTAGGATCCCTGGTTCTGCTGTGTGTCCTTCCACCACCTCCTGCCCCGTGGGGATTGGGTCCCTGCTCATCTCATGCTGGCCACCCTCATCTTATCGCAGCTTCCCCTCATCAACTCTTCCCTGCCTCACATTTCTCCTCTTCCTGGGTCGAAGTCAGCCATTTAGCCATTTCTCTGATTATACTGACTCCTAAGTCAAGGAGCTGCTTCACTCCAAAACAGCCTCCCCAACCCCAACAGCCTAACAGCTGTCAGGATGCCAATGGACGGATGAAGGATGGATTAATTAACTAGAGAAAATGAAGTGACAGAGAACCTGAGCTAAGAAAAATGAGAAGCAAACGGAAAAAGAAGAGAAATTAAAGGAAATGTTGAACACCTGAAATAAAAATACACACTCACAAAAAAAAAAAAATTGGGCAATCAGAACTTCAACTAAAAATCCA